CAGAACTCAAATTCTAGTAAAAAGACCGGACTTAATGGTTTGACTGAGACTGGAGGGACCCCAGAAGATATGGCCCCCAGACTGTTAGCCCAAAACTGAAACCATTCTGAGGCCAACTTTTTTTTTCTTTAATCTTTTTTAAATTTTTTCCCATACAAAAATTTATACATACATTGTTATGTGACTCTAATTGCTCTCCCCATACTGTAACAGCACACCCTGCCCCTTTCCACCCCTTATTCCCCATCTTCATTCAACCAGCTCCTAACCCTCTCTGCCTTCCCATCTCACCTCCAGACAGAAGCTGCCCGTTTAGTCTCTTGTATCTACTTGAGCTAAGAGGCACACTCCTCACGAGAATCACTTTATGTCCCTTCAGTCCAGTCCAATCCCTGTCTGAAGAGTTGGCCTCGGAAATTGTTTTAGTTCTGGGCTGACAGCGAATCCAGGAGCCATGCTTTCTGGGGTTCCTCCAGTCTCAGACCATTAAGTCTGGTCTTCTTACTAGAATTTGAGTTCTGCACCCCACCTTTGTCATGCTCCATCCGGGACTCTCTGCTGTGTTCCCTGTCAGGGCGGTCATTGGTGGTAGCCAGGTACCATCTAGTTCTGGTCTCAGGCTGATGAAGTCTCTGGTTTATGTGCCGAGGCCAACTCTTCAGACGAAGATTAGACTGGACTATGGGGCATAAAATGATACTCATGAAGAGTGTGCTTCTTAGCTCAAGTAGATACATGAGACTAAATGGGCAGCTCCTGTCCGGAGATGAGTAGGCAGAGAGAGTCAGGAGCTGGTTGAATGGACTCGGGAAATCTGGGGTGGAAAGGAGGAGTGTGCTGTCACAGTATAGGGAGAGCAACTAGGGTCACATAACAATGTGTGTATAAATTTTCGTATGAGAAACTAACTTGAATTGTAAACTTTCACTTAAAGCACAATAAAAATAAATAAATTCACTGTCCCCTAAGGTTCCTATCTAATCTTTTGAGTTGCTGTTGTCAATTTGATCCCATATAGATAGTTCTTAAAAGAGTTCAATGCTCAAGGCAGACATTTTTTCCTAGTTAAGCTAAACTAGTGTTTGGTTTTAAGAAGACTTCAGGGGATATTTTTGATTTAAGGTTTAAAGATTATCTTGGAGCAATAGTTTCTGGGGTTCATCCAACCTTCATGGCTCCAGGAAGTCTGAAGTCCATGAGGATTTTAAATTCTGTCTGCATTTTCCCCCTTTTGATCGGGATTCATCTGTGGAATCTTTGATCAAAATGTTCAGTAATGGTAGCCGGGCACCATCCAATTCTTCTGGTCTCATGGCAAAGAGCCAGTTGTTCATGGAGGCAATTAGCCACACATTCCATATCCTCCTCCAATTCCTGTCTTGTTCCAGGTGAATAGAGACCAATTGTGCTTTGAATGGCTGCTTGCAAGCTTTTAAGACCCCAGGTACTACACGTCAAACTAGAAGGTAGAACACAGGCACTAAACATATTAAACCAATTAACTGAGATGTCCCATGAAACTAAGACCCTAAACCTCCAAACCAAGACACCAAATCCCATGAGCATGAGGTTTTTAGTTGGACATAAGCAGCCTCAGCAGCTACTCCTTTTTTGTCATCATCGTAAATATATCTATCGCACAACTTCTATGGCTTTAAAGATCTTATTAATGTGTTTATATTGTATCTTCAGTCATAATTAAAAGTACCTTGTAACTTGATAATTTCTTACACTTACATGGTAGATAACACTATTCACAGTGCTTAAAATTAAATGTACATTTATCATGCACATTTAGCATTCATCATTTCCTTTGATTCTCCCAATCAACCCATTTTACAGATTTTCAATTTGAAGCTGAGAGAAGGTATGTCTTGTTTAAGATTATCTGACAACTTAATGGCAAATACAGGCAGAGCCTAGGTCCACTGAGTCCTAAATGACGTTACTTCTCCTTTCACCATATGGTTCCACCTCCTATCCCCAAACATCCAAGAACATTTATGAAAATGATGTGGACTTCTGGCTTACTAATGTGGACTAGCTTATATATTACACATTAAACTATTCATAACAGTTTAATAAATTAGTCTGTTAATATTCCATAGTTGATAAACAGTGCAAGTACAACACGTGAAACCCAAGTCATAAACTACATGAAATGTTATTAAATACAATTCCAAAAACAAAAAGAAGGATTAGAAAAATCAATGTCATTGACTATATTAGCAGATTAAAGGGAAAAAACTTAATAGATGCTGTCATGGATTGAATTACGTCCCCCCAAAAATGTGTGCATCAATTTGGCTGGACCATGATTCCCAGTATTGTGTGTTTGTCCTCCATTTTGTGATTGTAATTTTATGTTAAAGAGGATTAAGATGGGATTGTATAACACCCTTACTAAGGTCACATCCCTGATCCAATGTAAAGGGAGTTTCGCTAGGGTGTGGCCTGCACCACCTTTTATCTTACAAGAGATAAAAGGAAAGGGAAGCAAACATAGAATTGGGGACTTCATACCACTAAGAAAGCAGTGCCCGGAGCAGAGCGCATCCTTTGGACCTGGGGTCCCTGCGTGGAGAAGCTCCTAGTCCGGGGGAAGACTGATGACAAGGACCTTCCTCCAGAGCCGACAGAGAGACAAAGCCTTCCCGTGGAGCTGATGCCCTGAATTTGGACTTCTAGCCTGCTAGACTGTGAGAAAATAAATTTGTCTTTGTTAAAGCTATTCACTTGTGGTATTTCTGTTACAGCAGCACTAGACGACCAAGACAGATGCCATTTGATAAATTGGGGTAGGATAAACTTCAGCCCCCATTCATGAGAAAACCGCTAGGAAAAATAAATGTCCTAAGTTTAAGGCTATCTGATGCAAACCCACTGAAACATCTTACTCAATAGTGAAACGTTAAAAATATTAACGTCAGAACAAAACAAGGAGGCCCACGACCAGTGCTAAGAAATGGGGCATTAATACTGGAACAGAAGTGAGAAAACCATTTTGGCCAATTTGACCTTCTATAGGGGAAACAAATGAATCAATTGACCAGCTCTTGGAATAAATAAAAAAGCTGACCTGAATAAACATAATTAATACTGTGCATGCTAATAACCAATTTTTTTAATGTAATTTATAAAAAATTTTTAATAGATTCACAGTAACAAAATAATGCAATGACTTTAAAATAAGATCATACCCAACAGGAAGTGTGAAAGATTTTTGTGAAAAAACCTGTAGTTTTACTGGAAGACATAAAAGACCTGAATAAATGGAGACATGTCATGAACCCAGAAAGAAGGACCCAATATTATAAAACCATCATTTCCTCCCCTAAATTCATTACAATCCAATCAAAATCTTAAAAAGTAACCTGCATTTGGAAGATAAAATGTACAATAATAAAGGAAACGTTTTCAAGAAAAATGTGAGCCTTCCCCACAGCTACCAAGGCCTCCACCGGACTGAGTCCAGTACAGCTAGATGGTGCCCGGCTACCACCACTGACTGCTCTGACCAGGATCACAACAGAGGGTTCTGGACAGAGCTGGAGAAGGATGTAGAACAAAATTCTAACACGCACAAAAAAGACCAGATTTACTGGCCTAAAGGAGACTGGAGAAACCCTGTGAGAGTATGTCCCCCAGAAACCCTTTTAGCTCAGTGGTGAAGTCACTTCCGAGGT